GTTCATTGTCTAATTGGAGCTTGTTGGCCTTTGATTTGGGAAAGGGTCTGCCCTGGCACCCATGGGAGGAGTGCTGTGCTGTCCCCAAAATGATGCTCGTAGAGGGATGCTTGTCCTCAGCTTCTCTGTGTCTGCACTGTGCAGCAGCTTCTCCCAAAACCAGGCCTGGCAGTGAGTCGTTTCAAAGTTAAAAGTAAACAGTACGTGTATTGGGGGACACGCTCATGGCCCTGTGGTAAAAGCACTTCTCAGTCCCAGGCCTGTGGGAGAGGTGAGGGTTTAGTTTGTTGGCAGTGTTGCAAGTGGCCAGAGCCTCCATTTTCAGTGAGACAAGGTGACTGTCAGCTGACCTTGGTCACCTCACCTGTGTGGAGGTGTATTAGTTATTGACTTCTGCGTAGCATGTTGCCCAGGAACTTGGTGCTTTAGGGCAGCAAAGACTCGTCCCTCTCACCGTTTCTGTGGGTCGGGAGCGGTGTGGCTGTATTTCTCATGAGACTGAGATGGCACGCTCTGGCTGCTGGCAGGAGGCTGAGGGGCCTCACAACACGGCACCTGGCCTCCCCCAGAGCCTTGTGACCCTGCCTGGCAAGGGACATCATCCCTGTGGTCAAGCTGGCCGGCCCTGATGTATGGGAGGGGACTGCATGGTAAGCATGGGGCAGGGCGGGAGCTGCGTACCACAGGCAAACAGGGTATTTTATTGCCCTTTATTCCTGTGGCCCTTAGTCCAAGTTTTGGGAGGGAGCAGCCTTTCCGTATGTGAGGTGCTCGATTTTCCATGGCTTGTCTAGGAGGAGACGGAATGGCAGGGAGTGAGTGGGCCTAATTGCCAGAGAGGACAAGGGTGGCTCACGCCCACCCTGAGCCCAATGGCCATCTTGGTGCTGGAAGTTGTGGCTGCAGAATGGGCCCATCCTTGTTGGTAATTGAGTGGAATCTCACTTAGAAGTGGGCTGTGGGGCATGGCGTTTCCTTAGAGCTGGGGCTTCCTGTTGGTCTTTGAACTGTGCACAAGGCTGGGTCTGTTGCTTTTGACATGGACTCCACCAGAAATTGGGTGGTGAGGGGAGGTTCAGAAGACAGAGTTGGGCTTGGCCATCTCAGGGAGAAGGGGGGGCTTCATTCCAGAAACCATTTCTGCTCTGCTGTCCTGAGGGCTGCAGCCCAAGGGCAGGAGGCTTGGTGCACTGAGAGGGTTGTGGTCCAGCCCCTGGGGGATCATCTCAGAAGTCACTGGTTTTCTTTCTGTCTACAGTTGGGGATCCCACTGGACCAGCCCAGGCACCATCCTCGGTCCTGGAAAGAGCGGAGAGGCAGGAAGACACTGCCTGACTCACATTACAACAGGAAGATGCAACCTGTGGTGCTGCTGGTCCGGGAGTCCGCTGCAAGAGTGGGTCAGAGCTGGCAGCAGTCTCCAGTGCAGGAGAATCTGCAGGCCATTAATGCATTATTAAGAGGGATGGCAAGGGGTGCTGGGTGACCCTGCAATTATATGTATCGTGTACAGGATTCTTCCGGTAAAGTAAACCACGTTTATTTACAGTCTTGGCGATTCATGCATTGGTACAAACTGGACAACACACACAGTGAATGAATGTTATGAGACTTATGCATATGTTACAGTCATATTCACAATGCAATTTTGGAAAATTTTTTTTTTAAACTTGCCTGTGGTGATAGGCAGTTTCTCTAGTTATGAGAGGCCTATACTGTACCACACACAAAGACACACACCAGACAAGCTTGTTAACTGCATCAGGTCTTCATGAAGCTGAAGTGGGTCATGGGGGGCTCTGTTGAGTGGGGCGGAGGCTGGAGGGGAGGGGCAGGCACAGACTTGCTTCATTTCTCCTATAAATTACTTTGTAACAACACTGCATTTTCAGTGGTGTGTTCCTTCCAGACTTCCATGGTGTTCTGTTGAGATTCCCTTCCATGAAGACCTTTCCAGGGAGCCTCACGGTCCTTATGAGCCCCCAATCCAGAGGCTAAATTAGACGTGTTTGGGGGCAAGTCAACCATTTTGCTGCTCAAGGGTTCTGCTCTGGGTGGCCAGGGCATTGTGCAATGTCAGGAACTTTAAAAGGCAGTCCCTCACAGGCCAGGTCCTTCCTGACTTCGGGGACAAAGCATCACTTGACCCAATGCAGAGAAGGTTCTCGGTGTGCAGCCTCCTTGTACAACCCAGGACTGGTAGCTGGCGTTAGTGTTCCCTTCGAGGCTGGGGGTCCTGCTCAGAAACCCAAAGGCAAAAGGCTTTTGCAGAAAACAGTTGAGTGAGCTTGTCCCTTCTGCCTTCAGTCCTGTGCTGCTGCTTTGCTTTTCTGATAAATGTGGCATTGGGGGCAGGGCACTTTGCTGCACTGAAAACCTGTTCAGGCGAATATCCTTCGTGATTTTCTCAAGGGTATCTGGGAACTTGTTAATCTTGACTTTTTTTTTTTAAAATCTCTAAAATTTTCAGCTCGTCCTTTACTGGCATTAAATTCTTCAGCATTAGATCCTCAGCTTGCTTTTGCTTTTAAGTTGTCACGTAATGACTTCCTCCAGTCAGCCTGCAGGTGTGCCTTGTAGCAGTCCTGCGCCTGCATGAGAGATGCATTTTCATTTCCAGGTAAGAGGGTCTTTCACGAGAAGTATAAGGTTTTCATGCTTGGAGTAGCTGTAACGATGGCTTCATAAATTTCCCTTTTGGTCCTTAACCTGGAATAGTTTATCTTGAAGAGGCAGGTACATGTCAAGCACTTTCAGTTCTTGTGGCATCCTGGCTTTCTTTTGTAGGAGCACCTCCAGCATCCCTAGTGACACTGCATGTGGGTTCCAGTGTATATAGTTCAAGGTTTACAGTATTGCCCTAAACATGAAGACAAGGCCACAGGACCTCGAGATCATTTATAAATAGAATGACATTTTATGCACTCATGACATACTTTCTTGATGTTTCCAGGCAACATGGCTTGGCTGTTCTCTCAAACTTGCAAATCAAAATTTCCAACCTATTGAAAAAATCCACATCTAAGTGGACCTGCACAGTTCAAGCTTGTGTTCAAGGGGAGCCTCTTAAGTATCCAGAACCCCTAGGTCCTGCAGCTTGGGTTATCTTCCCCCACAAGGGGGGAATCGAGGTGGGAAAAATAGTTATGATAAATTTAGGATGAGCTTTAAGGGCTAGTACTAAGAATTGGGTATTACAGTTGAAATTTTGGAACGTGTTTCAGACAAAATGTTCAAGTGAACTGAAGAATTTAATGCATTTTCCTTCAAGGAAAGGATTTCCGTGTTGGCAAAACTGGAGACTAAGCTGGTCTTGAATAAACTGCCTTGACGTGTATTTCCCGTGTGATAGGCTGGGTCTGAAACATGGGGAAGGTGTGTGTTCTCACTGGTGGGGGCCCCCCGTGGGGAAGGGGTGTCAGGCCCCAGGGTGCTCGGCTTCTCGCTGGCAAGGGACGGGAAAATTCACAGCTCTTCCCCAGATAATAGACTTTTACACCCAGCAGTTCACTGAAATCAGCAAAGGATTCCTGGTCAGGGCTGTGTTCTGAGTATCCAGCGCTGCAGATAGACCCGATTCCCCACTTGCTGCTACACCGCCGTTCTCATTGGTCCTGCCTCTCCATCCACACCTTCGGCAGTCAGGCCCTAAGCCATGTTGGGGTCTGGTCCTTGGAACCAAACAGGAGGGTCAGCTTCCAGCATCCCATCACACCACCCCCTTGTCCCAGTTAATTACCTCACACTGGCTCTAGGAGTTTGAGGGGCCAGGCAGGCTCTGGGACCACCCACTGAGGCCTCCAGCAGCCATGACCCTGAGAACTGAACTGTTCTGTGCAGGAGGCAAGGGCAGCCCTCACTTCCATGCCCAAGCTGTTAAGGGTGTTCTGGATGGCAGGGGTCAAGGGTCCAGGGCCGGGTGAGGGGAACTCCAGAGTACTCACAGAAAAGCTATTTATTTACATTAGATGTTCTTGAAAGTAACAAAACCCAACTTGGCCTGGGTGGGTCCCCTTGGTCAGGCTCCAGGTCCTCCTTCCTACCCTCCCCCTTCCAGCCTCTTATTCCAGCTAAATGGTCAGTCCATCTGGGCTGTTGGATCCTGAAGGGAAGGGAGGGGCAAAGTGAAGGAACCTATTATCACAGGAACTACTGAGCTGGAAAGGAGCAGCCTGGGCCCAGCCCTGTCCTTTGTCCAGTGACAGTGTGAGGAAGGAGGCCCCAAGGGCAAGGGTGGCTACAGGGCCCCTAGTGGGCGGGCTAGGGCCCAGACCCCCTAGACAGCAGTCCCTGCTAGAGGCCCCGCTCTGGGCCAGCCACTGTCAGGAGTACTTGGTGTTGGAGATCTTCTTCCACAGCAGGGTCTTGAGGTGGCTCAGCACCAGTGAGTGGTGGGCCTCCACCTGGCTGGCCAGCCCGCTCAGTGTGGTGCAGGTGCGAAGCTGCTTGCCCAGCTCCTCGCGCAGGTCATGGGGGGCGCCGGGCAGCAGGTAGTCCCGCAGCAGCTCGCACACCTTGGCCAGGTTGGGCTGGATGAGGTCACCCTTACACTGCCGCATGAGCTTGTCGCAGGGCGCCCTACAGTCGCGCCCATACGTGCAGTCTGAGCTGTGCTCACAGTGGCGGCCCTGCAGGAAGCGGCGCACGGTGGCCTCTGGTGCCACCTGCTGCAGGTCAGCCATCCTGAAGTCGTGCTTGGCCGTGTAGCCCACGTTGGCCAGCGTGGTCTCACACATGTAGAAGGTCCCGTAGGAGCCATGGAATAGTTCCTCCACAAACTCCAGCAGGCCAATGGCGATCTTGGCCCGCCAGGGCCATGCAGGCCCCAGCCACTGCTGCAGGGCACGGTGCAGGGCGGGGGGCAGCAGTGGGCGCAGGAGGGGTGGGAGCGCCGCCTCATGCCAGGAGCTATGCAGAACACCCTCAGTGATGTACAGGTCCCCGCAGAAGCCCAGCAGCCGGGAGGCGTGCTCCTTGTCCTGCAGGGACAGCAACAGCAGGAACTCGTTCCGCTGCAGCAGGGCCCACACGGACTTGGCCTCGGCCAGGGACACCCTGCTGTCCTTGTTGAAGTCAGCCATGAGCAGGACCTGTCCAACCAGTGCGGGCAGGGAGGGCAGGTCTCCCAGGTTCGCCTGACGTTTGGGACCAAAAGAGAGGACAGTGATTTCAGAGCTAGCATGTTGCTAAGGTGGCAGGATGCCAGCTTTGGCATGGTCCTGCCAGACACATGGGTGCTAGTTGGGTGGGCTGCATGCGGGACACGGCACATCTGAAACCTTAGGGGAGCTCAGCCTCAAACTGCCACCTACTGGAAGCCCACCCTGACCACTCACCCACCTGCCTCTCTCCTAGAACTGCTCCGAGGGACTGTGTCCCCATGTCTCCACCATGCTCAGAGGGCCTAGGGGTGGGCACCTCAGCANGCCCAGCTCCTCGCGCAGGTCATGGGGGGCGCCGGGCAGCAGGTAGTCCCGCAGCAGCTCGCACACCTTGGCCAGGTTGGGCTGGATGAGGTCACCCTTACACTGCCGCATGAGCTTGTCGCAGGGCGCCCTACAGTCGCGCCCATACGTGCAGTCTGAGCTGTGCTCACAGTGGCGGCCCTGCAGGAAGCGGCGCACGGTGGCCTCTGGTGCCACCTGCTGCAGGTCAGCCATCCTGAAGTCGTGCTTGGCCGTGTAGCCCACGTTGGCCAGCGTGGTCTCACACATGTAGAAGGTCCCGTAGGAGCCATGGAATAGTTCCTCCACAAACTCCAGCAGGCCAATGGCGATCTTGGCCCGCCAGGGCCATGCAGGCCCCAGCCACTGCTGCAGGGCACGGTGCAGGGCGGGGGGCAGCAGTGGGCGCAGGAGGGGTGGGAGCGCCGCCTCATGCCAGGAGCTATGCAGAACACCCTCAGTGATGTACAGGTCCCCGCAGAAGCCCAGCAGCCGGGAGGCGTGCTCCTTGTCCTGCAGGGACAGCAACAGCAGGAACTCGTTCCGCTGCAGCAGGGCCCACACGGACTTGGCCTCGGCCAGGGACACCCTGCTGTCCTTGTTGAAGTCAGCCATGAGCAGGACCTGTCCAACCAGTGCGGGCAGGGAGGGCAGGTCTCCCAGGTTCGCCTGACGTTTGGGACCAAAAGAGAGGACAGTGATTTCAGAGCTAGCATGTTGCTAAGGTGGCAGGATGCCAGCTTTGGCATGGTCCTGCCAGACACATGGGTGCTAGTTGGGTGGGCTGCATGCGGGACACGGCACATCTGAAACCTTAGGGGAGCTCAGCCTCAAACTGCCACCTACTGGAAGCCCACCCTGACCACTCACCCACCTGCCTCTCTCCTAGAACTGCTCCGAGGGACTGTGTCCCCATGTCTCCACCATGCTCAGAGGGCCTAGGGGTGGGCACCTCAGCAAGGAGGTGAGAGCTTGCTGGGTGGGGCCAGTCACTTCTCTTCTGCTCTCACCCGCTCCTGCCACACCCCACCTCCTCTGCACCTGCAGCTCCCTGCTCTCCCCTACTGATGCCCCGGGGAGCAGGGTGCTCTCTGCCTAGTGGGCCATCCTGAGCAAGGATCTGCTTGGAGCTGGAGGGCTAGCCAGAAGCCTGGCCAGCCTATATGGCCCCCACCTGGCCTGGTTCCTGCTCTGTGCACACATCCTCAGGCATGAACTGCACACAGCCCGAAAGAGAGCCAACTGACCTTGAGAAAGCTGAGAGTCATCTCCCGGAACTCTTTAATTGAGGTGCCCCGAGTGGGCTTATCAAATAGCACCAGCTCCCGCCGGGGGGCCGCATCTGACCTGGCCTTGGAGTTCAGGCTCTCTTCGATGCCACACTTGATGGTCACCTCCTTGCCCTGCCAGAGCCCGCTGTACACCTGGATGGGCCACAGGGATCCTCCGTGTAGAAGTCCCTCTCCCGCTGCGCCTCAGCCTCTAAGCCCCAAGTCCCCAGACACATAGAGGGAGGGTCTCCAGGCATGGCCCTGGGCCCCACCCCACCAGGCTCACCTGCTGACCAGGGACAGAGGAGTGGCAGGTCCTCCACTCCACCTTTTGCAGCTGGCACAGGTCCTGGCAGAGGGAGCCCGAGATGATGCCCTTGCGGTACTGGTCACACTAGGAGAGGAGGAACATGCTAGGGAGTGGCCTGGGAAACGGGCTCAGGGGCTCCTCCCCGGCTGATCCAGGCCCTCCCCCACCCTTTACATGTTGCAGCCCTGGGTGGCAGGCTGAGGCCCTCATCACATCTGCCAGTGGCTCCCTGGCTCTTAGGCCACAGCACTTCTCAGAGGGGCCCAGACTGCTACAGCTGCTGCAGTAGTCAGGCAGCCTCCAGCCACTGGGCACACCACCTGCCTCAGCTTCTGTGGATGCCCAGCCTGGCCCTAGTGGGCGCCTCTGCAGAGCAGTCTGCCATCCACGTTCCCTGGTGGGCCACCCCAGAGTTTGGAGGCACACCAGATCCTTTGGGGTGGAGGACCTCCCTGCCTGCTGGCCGGGCCAAGGCACCCAGGAACACGGAGGCTAGTTTCCTCCTGGTGAGTGGAGCACATTCCTCCTCTGCTCCCCCGCGGCTCCCTCAGCTCTCTTGGTGATGGGAGAGGGGCTGCTGCTGGCACAAAGGAAGTGTGTCACACTGACCATTTGCTCACTGCTCTCTAATGGCCAGACCCCCAGCTCTGGCCTCCTCCCAAGTCTCACTGGGAGACCCATCCACCAACTGCCCTCAGTCCCACGGTGCATCTGCTCCCCATGGCCCCTGGGCCGACTGCTATGTGGCACCTGGCTGCCCGGCGCCTTCTAGACCTCTCCAGCTGTACCCACGCCCACACCCATGCCCCCACCCAGAGCTGTCCACCAGCAGTGCCTCCCTGGTCCTGGCCATGGGTCTGTGCCCAGCTCAGACCTGGCCACTGCAGGCCACCAGCGAGCATTTCTGGAATGAACAATGGAGTCCAAGAAGAGACAGCAGGCCTGAAGACCTTTCCTGCCTTGAGTGTGAGAGCTGTGTCCTTGGGGCCTGTGCTAGCCGGGCCCCTGGGAGGTACTCAGCCAACAATCTGAGAACCAGGCACCACGGGGGCCAGCCCTTTGCAAGTCCTGTCACATGGGCTCTCCGTGCTCCAGACCCCCATGCCCCTCCCTACCACCATCTCTAAACTTTCCCAAACTAGGCCCCCGAAGAACCTTGGCCAGAGCAGGCTGGCTTCAGTCACCACACAGAACCCAAACAGGTGCCCCTCACCTTCCAACCAGCAGAAACTCTGAGCCGCCCCGGCTGATATGGGGCAACTGCAGGCAAGTTCAAGTCCTGGGGTCTCCCCGAGTCTATAAACCATGACTGTTGACTAGGCAGGAAGCTCTGAGGACCACGTCCTGCCGCCTCCTTTGATGGACCCTTGTCCCCAGAAGGGGTCTTCAAGGTCACCAGCATCTGCCTGTTCCAGTCTCCCTCCCAAACTTCTGGAGTCTGCCCATCTGTCCGTCCCCAGCGAATGGCCGGTGCTCTCCTGGGTGCCTGCAATGGCCTCCCCATGGTCCTGCCTTCCGCCACCCCCAGTCTCCTCCACCGCCAGCCAGAGGATCCATCTTAAAAGCCCCCTGCAGGGCCTCTGAGGAAGGCCTGTCCCTGTCTGTGGGCCAGCAAGGGGAGGGACAGAGCACTCGGCCTGCTGCCCCATGTCAACCCAGACACCCAGCCCAAGGGGACACTTACGATGACCACCTGGCAGACGTGCCCGCGGCAGAGCTCTGCGTAGGACGAGTAGTTCACGTACGCCAGCCAGCTGCCAGCAAAGATGCCCAGCCAGACCAGAAAGACGTACTTGACCCTGAGGCCCGGCAGCCGGCCCTGCTGGGTGAGGGGCACATGAGGAAGCGCCCCCTCTCGGGGTGCGTTACCCCCTCTCACAGACCCCGCCTTCCCATCAGCTGGCCCTGTCCCAGCGTCCAGAACTGCCTGAGGCCCAGGGATGGTCTGGGGTCTCCTCCTGTCTTCCTCCCCCTAGGTTCACTACTCCGAAGTGGGGGCAGGTGCCCAGACTTTTAAGTACAGGGGGCAAGTAAAAATCAATTTCAAAATGGGGGGATACAGGGTAGTCAACTCCTTATTTTGCCGAATAAAGGGTTTTTTTTTACAAATTTCCCTCCTGTCTTGCCCTCATTTCAAAATGACATGTAACCGCCACACAAGGGCAAGCTGGAGAATCACCAGGCAGTCACTCTGTCCTCCGATGGGTGCAGAGTTCGGCTGGACCCAGGCCAGGGGGAGGATGGGCCTCGGGGCTGCTGGGGCAGAGGGCAGGGCCGCGGCCGCACAGTGGGCCAGCGAGCCTGGCGACCCGGCCTTAACGCCCATGTTCACAGCAGCGTATTCCCAACAGCCAAAGTAGGGACACAACCCAAGTGCCACTGACAGAAGACGGGATCTATCATTCCGCCTTTAAAAGGAAGGAAATCCTGATTCTTGCTACAATGTGGATAAGCCCTGAAGTCATAATGCTCAGTGAAAGAAGCCAGTCGCAGAAGGACAAATCCTGTAGGATCCCACTCGTTCAAGGTCCCCGGAGGACTCAGATCCACAGAGACAGGAAATAGATGGTGGGTTCAGGGGCCAGGGGAGGGGTGGGAGCGAGTGCTCAATGGGCAGAGGGTGAGTTTGGGGAAGAGGGAAAGTCCTGGAGAGCATGGTGGTGGCCGCTGCACAACAGGGTGAATGTACCTAATGCCACTAAGCTGTGCACTTAGACATGGTAAAGACAGTCAATTTTGTATTGTATAATGTACCACAGTAAAGAATAAATAAAACACAGCTTCTGATGTTCAGGTGGCCAGAAACTGCTTCCATGTAGGGCTCAGCCCCTCTGGCAGCTTCCCCAGATGACAAGTGGAATCACAGGGCACGAGCGCCCCAGAGCCCACAGCTGGTGGGCTGGGGACACTGTCTCGCATGCAACCCTTAGCCCCGATTCAAGGACACCACCACCACTCTTCCCCACTCCCTGTCCTGGCAAATCACAGCCTCTCAGGCTGCTGTCCAGGAGCAGTGGCTGAGCCCCAGGAGCCAGGAGAGCAGGGGCTCAGGGCTTCAGGCCAGCCTGTCCTCAGAGGAGGCACCACTGCCAGCGATGGCGACGCTCCCCCCATTGGTGGACTGGGCTGCAACTCCAGTCCTGGGTTTCTGGTGGTTAGTCCTAGGTCCAAGTTAGCCGGGGGCTGGGGGCTCCCCTGAGACAGAGGCCACAAGACCCCCAGCTGCATTCATTTTTATAATTCTTCAAGGAGAGGCAGGGTCCTCACCTCCTACTTCCTGGCACCCACGCACATGGCTGGCCACCCCGGGAAGGGCTGTAGCAGGAGGACCCGGAGAACTCTGGGGACAGGCTAGGCGCCTCAGTGGCCACTGAGGAGCAGTGGGGACTGGAGTGGCCCTGGAGCAGAATGAGGGGGTTGGGCCTCAGGCCCACTTGTTCCTGCCACTGCGTCTGTTTCCGTCAGATTTGTTCAAAAGGAAAAACAGGAAAGCAGAGAAACAGTGGGTGGGGGGGCAAGGCAGTTGGGGGGTGTTGGAGCAGGATAGGGTCAAGGACTTCCCACTGCTGGTGAACAAGGTCCCCTGAGGTGATAGTGGGCAGGGCCTGGGTGGGCTTTCAGCACTGGGGCCCTAGGGGGATGACAGGAGGGCAGGCTGTAGCCAGTGGACCAGGGGGTGGGGGAGACCAGGCTTTACAGAGCAATCGCAGGAGCAGGAGCTTGCCTGCAGGAGGCCCCAGACACAGCCCACTCCCCTACCCCACCCCACCCCACCCGCTCAAGGCACCAAGCCTTCCTGGCCTTCCAGTGGTGGCCCTTCCATACACTGACCCCACCTGGCTAACTCTGACTGAATCCTAGGCCCTCATCTGCCACTGGCACTTCCTCCAGGGGCAGCCACTGACCCCATCCCGTTGCCCTGCACTGGTGAGTGAGTCCTGGGTCAGGGCAGGCCTTACTCCTGGGGAGGAGCCACGGGAGGGTAGGGAGGGGTGCTCGGGGGACAGTAACAGCACAATGATCTGTGGCCCATGGGCTAGCTCCCTACATGCACCACCAACCCAGGAGGGTGTTTGATAGGCAGGGAAACTGAGGCTCAGAGTGTGTCCTCGACACTAATAGAGGACAGGGCAGGGCTCAGATCAGGGGAACTCACAGGAACCCCTCTCCAGCCCTCTGACATTCCTGGGCTGCCCCTGCAGTGGTCGAGGCCTTCCACCAGAGCTGGGGGCCAGAGCACACTCCACCTGGGCGGGCAGGGAGGGCGTCTGGCACAGGCATGTAACCTGCGTGTTTCCAGGCTCCCACACTTCTCCCCAATTCTTCCCAGAAAGGAGCAGCTGAGGACAGCGGGGCCCTGGGCCAAGGACGCCAGCCTGGCAGGAACGCCTGCCCTGGCCCCAGAAAGGCTGTACTGTAGGGCATCACAGCCACAGGAGGGGCCTGGACGATTTGAGACTGATACAGGCCTGGCTCGGACCACCCAATGCAGAGATGACAGGGTTCCCCCCAGCAGCTGGCACCCAAGGCAGCCTGGGCCTCCCCTGCAGACAGAGGACCCAGGCGAGCACATGACTTGTGCAAGGTCAACGTGGGGTCAGGGCACACCCTAAACTCGACTGGCTGGGGGATAACCCAGAGGGGGGGATAACCCAGCGGGAGGTTATGTATGTCCGTCTTGGGGCATTTTTGTGCCCCAAGTTTTCCACAACAGAAAATCCTTATATTTAAGTAGAAAAAAAAGGAAGGTTTTTGGTGTGGTTTCTGGGCCTCCGGTAGCAGGGTCCATCCAGCCCAAGGGGGGGTGGGGCCTTCTTCAGCCCTGGGAGCAGGGGCTGCCACCACGCAGCAC